TTAAGTGGGAGGCCGTAGTGACTTTATAAGTGTTATACGCTAAGTTGCTCAAATGCACAACCAATCGACCACAAACTGGAGTCTTTTTAGCCGTAACAACTCTTTTCTCTCTCTGTATTTGTGGTAAAGTACATGTTTTTGGATGATATTTGTCTGGTGTGTTGCACACATTGGGTGTTTGTAGTTGCATTTGTTGTGCCATTTAATCTTTACAAAAGGACAACAAAGGGTGCGCCATTTGAAAGGCTGCGACAACAATAGGAAGCACAAAGCCAGCAATCACAACAACAAAACAAGCAACATTGCAAGTTAAGAAGCTAGAAGTAACAACAGACTAGGATATTAAATGGAAAGAAGTCTTCCGTCTTAAGAATTTCATAATCTTGAAATAGTTATACAATACGATTGAAATTACATTAATTATGAAAACATTTTTTATATTTAAAAATTAGGATACCATTTTCTATTTTTATTCAATATGGAAATTTATTTTAGTTGCAACAATAGCTGCAAGCAACATCAACACTAACATGAGCAGCAACTCCTCCTGCAACAATAAACAAAAGCAGCAACAACAATAAGTAGCAACAGAAAACAGCACAAAAAGCTGCAACAGCAACACCAACAGGAAAGTGTTGCAGCTTGACTAGTTCTCGGTGTTGTAGGTTGCTGCTTGGCTTCCTTTTGCCACGGCGCCTGTGTAATTTGAAACACTTGTGTCAACGTGGCCAGAACCCCCCTGGCACCTCTTTCTCAGAGCCCCCTTTGCCGCCGCCACTGTGCCTGCTGCTGACATGTTTCTTTGGGTTGCTGCTGTTGCTGTTGCTGCCTTTTGCTGCTGATGTTGCTGCGGTTGTCAGCGTCTTATTATCATCATCAGTGGCAGCTTTTGGCGGTTTTGTATATTTCCCCACCCTCATCCCACTCCACCAACCCCCCCCAAAAAAAGGGGCGTGGCTGGCAAAAAGAAGCAGCAGGGCCAGGCTTTTCTTTTCGCTTTTAGTTGTAAGTTCTGGCGGAGAATTGTTTTTGGTTTTTGGAGACGGGGGTTTCTTACAATGAAATTCACTTTGCCAAAAAGTTTTCATTTCATTAAAAAACCTAACGGTGTAAGTGTGTGTGTTAGTGTGTGTGGGTGCTGCACATGTGTGTGTGTGTATTTGTATGTGTGGTTAACTGACATTCAAGTAATTCATCAAAAGCAAATGCAACCAACAAAACTGACGGCAGATCCAAGAGATCCGAGAGTTTCTGTGTCCACAACTTGTGCCCCACAGCTGCCACACATACACTGCAAAAAAACACACACACGTTTTTGAAGACTCAGCTGCAAAGACAAGACGTTGCCACAAACAAAAAAAAAAAACAAAAATAAAAATAAAGCAAAAGTTTTGGGGCAAGCACCAAAGTAGTTGGGGGGGTTAAGACTTTAGTGCCACAGGGGGTTAAGACGGCGGTACTCGCCTTAAGAGCTCAACAGTGTGTGCAAATAATTTGCATAAACACGCCAAAGAATTTAATTATATTTCGAGAGAAAGCCGGAAAATGAATCACAAAAAATAAATTATCGTTTGAATGGAAACCTTTTGCTCGAAAACCTATTTATCAGGTCTTATATGTATTTCCCACACCTTTGTCAATCAAAAGTTAACAAATGAACAGAACTCATCCCGAGAACTCAAAAAAGTTTCTTTATATTATTTGTTATTTTGCCTCAATTTCTTATTATTTTTTTTTAATATTAATTGACCTTTTTGAAAGTTACTGGGTTGTGTACAAATCGGTTCGGGAAATTGCTTTTCTTTTCCACCTTTTTTTTTGCGGGGGGAAAAGGAAAAAGGGCTGCCAAGCTGCCAAAAATTTAATGAGAAAATCAACCCAAAAAAAGGGTTTTTGGCACTTGCTTTAATTAATCACCAATGAAGTGGAATACTTTGATTTGATAATGAGAGTTAACAAAAAATAAAGAAATGCGACTCCCATATACTTGTATGTTAATGCTTTCGGGTACTTTGAGTAACTGCTTTTTATATTTTAGTTTCAATCTTAATCCTAAACTCTGATTACTTTACTTTGCAACCCCCGTTCAAAAAATTTCCGATAAGTCTAGAAATGCGAGCATTTAATACATTTACTAAATATCGATAACTCCAAACTCCGTCCCTGTTTTTTTTTTTATCGTTTTTTTTTTGTTTGTTTTTTTTTGTTATGAACAATTTAACATTTGCTACTACAACATGTGTGTGTGTTTCTTGTGTCCATTCCAGCAGTGGCGTATGTTTGCCTCACAAAAAGGGGTTTACATTTAGGCTGGAAATTTTTTATGGTAGGAATGTACTAGCAGGGCTATAAAATTAAGAGATTACGGTTTCATAAATAATGGTGTACAAGATTCTTAAAAAATAAAAAAAAATTAGACATAATTAGGTAACGGTGAGGCTTAAAGTATAGTAAGTATGAGACGTATAATACTATTACTTTTTTAATTTTTTTCGCAAAGATTTCTCGACATTTTAGACACGTAATTTTAACCAAATATTTGAGTTTAAGATCGCCTTAATATTGGATTCTTAAAGTGTTTTGAGTGTTTCTTGAAAACTATGTGTTTCTTTGGAAAATTAATTTTAATGTATCGACGCATTTCTGCGATCTTACACCAAAGAGTTAAAACGTGCTAGAGAATATATTCATTAAACAAGCTAGAATGGTTTACTTATATGTAATAAATAATATATATTTTATGGTACTGTCGTATTTAGCATGAATTTATTAAATATATAAATAAGTAATAAAATAAATATTTGATTTCATTTATGAAATTGTTATTAGACAGATTTGCAATTCCAAGCCTGAACTGCGATGAATATTAAGCCTTTCGAAGACTTTGAAACATTAAAGATAATATTTATTCCCTTGCAGAGGGTATTATAATTTTGGTCAAAAGTGTGCAACGCAGTGAAGGAGACATCTCCGACCCTATAAGGTATTTTTGATCAGGATCACCTCCTGAGTTGATATGAGTTATCACCTCCTGAGCATGTCCGTCTGTCCGTCTGTCTGTCCTTCTGCCTGTCCGACTGTCTGGTTTCTACGCAAACTAGTCTCTCAGTTTTAAACCTATCGACTTGAAACTTTGCACATACCCTTCTTTCGTTTGCACGCAGTATATAAGTCGCAACGTTCGGAATCGGCCGACTATATCCTATAAATTTTACATGAGAGCTACTTTTCGCAAAATAATACGACATACCAAATTTCATAAGGATCGGTCTACCATATCTTATAGCTGCCATATAACTGAGCGGTCGAAAATGACCCAACTTTCGTGTTTTTGAAGATAGAAAGCTGGTACAGATTATATTTTTGGTCAGTTGATCCGACCTACCAAATTTCATAACGATCGGCCGACTATAACTTATAGCTGCCATATAACTGAACGATCGGAAATGGTTTTTGGTAGAAATACCAACTTTGGTATGTTTGAAGATAGAAGTTTGGGACTTTTTTTAGATTTTGTATTGTAATAAATTGGATTATATATTCAAATCCCCATAAGAATCGGCCAACTATATCCGATGTTTGCGATATATATCCGGTTTTAACTGCAAGGGTAAATAAACTTCGGCTCCGCCCGAAATAAGCTTTCCTTTCTTGTTTTTTGTAAACCCTCCTGTCTACGCCACTGCATGTGTAGTGTGTTAATTTTTTTGGGTGAATATGGAGTGTGAGTGTCCTGTTTTTCCTGTTTTTTTTTTTTGTTTTTTTTGTTTTTGTTTTTGGTGAGTCCTTTAGACTGCGTATTATAAGAGGCAGAGCGTGAGCAGAAAGCCGGACACGGCGGACAAACCCATTAAGAGCGGCTGTCGACAGTGCCAACTTTGGTGGTGGCGGGGCGTGGAGAGGGGGAGGCAGGACAGTGGCAGGAGGAGGTGCAGCATGGGGAGTAGGGTGAGCAGAAGGTATGCCCCTCGGAGTCGCGAAACGCCGGAGCTCATTTCGTTGTTGTCGATGGCGCCGCGTACTTCCGTATTGCCGATGCCGTAATAGGGCGGCGGCTTACGTGTGATGCCCCCGCCCATTTCACCGGGCCCCCCCGGACCACTGCCTGCCCCGGCCCCTGCTCCGCCATGTTGCTGGTGGTGATGGTGGTGGTGATGCTGCTGCTGATGTTGATGCTGATGCTGATTGCCGCCGTTGCCGCCGCCGCCTGGCTTATGTGTGGGCGGTTTATTGCCGCTGGTATAGTAAACGTGTGGCGATAACGGACCCCCGCCCCCACCGCCACCTAGGCCGCCCAATCCGTCCCCGCCGTCGCCGTCGAAATCCTCAACGGATCCGTACTGCAGCTCCTCGTCGTCCGGCTGGTAGGTGACTTTGACTTGTTGTTTCTGCTTTAAAATGTCATTGGCATCCGCATCCAGGTTGCCGGCTCCGCCGCCGCCACCGCCCCCGCCAGACACTCCTCCGCCCTTGCCGCCCATCGGGTTTTTATTACGATTCGGTCCTGGGATTTCTGAGGGCGAGAAGAAACACCAAAAAATGAATAAAAATAGGACTACAGTAAGTAAATAAAGGGAGAGTGTAATTGAAACAAAGGCGCGAATACGTTCCATATCGTGGAATTCGCACCCAGGGGCTACAGTTGCGGTCCTCTCAATAGGTAGAGGTCTCTATTATTATGCCCAATTTTTATAATAATTAATATTATTTTATTATTTTTATAAACTCACCGTAGAGACGAATACTGCTGTCGACCTCGCCCAAGGAGTTTTTGGCGATACAGCGATAGGATCCGACATCGTCCTTCTGGAACTTCCGCACAATCATTACCATCTGAGTCTCGTACATGGACTGTGACTTTTCCTGGACGTGGTACTTGCTTGAAGTGACTATCATTTCACCTGAAACACAAATTCGAATCGAATACCATCCCATCAAAGCAATCTGTGACTCGAAATGTCAATAAATGTCAAAGCCCCAGAGCCCTAACGAGAAACAAATTCAGTATATTTTCTACCATTGACCAAGCCGTACGAAATTTCAAAAAAAAATTCCAAAATTAAAATCCAAAATAAAAACGAAATTTATACGAGGAAATAGTTTTCGGTAGAAAGGTAGAAAATAGTAAATTATTTTGAAATTTCAAAAGCGATAAAGCTGCAACCTATCCAATGATTTCGGGTGAGTATCCCAGTTTTTTTTTTTGGAAAAAGTTTATTGAAAGACGAAAATAGAAATTGAAAAAAAAACAGTGAAAAGTTTAATTCAAAATTGTCTACATATTTGGAAATTTTTGAAAATTTATTCAGACCAAATAAAATTGTAAAGTGAGTGTGAGAATGTTTTTCTAAATTGAAACATTTTGTTTCTGAAAATAAAATCAAAATTTTCCAATACAAAACTTTCAACCACGTGAATATTTTGGAATAGATGGGGTGATGTAGAAAGGCGGTTGCACCACCTGGAACATTCTACCGGGATCTGGTTGCAGCTACTACCTGGAACGGACGAACGTGCCACAATCTGACAACTGACTAATGACAATGCCAAACGATTCGATTCGAATCGATGTTGGAGTAATGATGCGTTCGCCCCCCAGAGTCCGACATCTGCATAGATGTATAGTCTGTGTATCTATATATCTGGCTATCTACATATCTCACCAACGATAGGCAGGACTCTCTTACACACACAAGCATATACATATGCACATATACTAGTACACTTACCCGTGTCCTTAATCCAGTAGTTAATTGATTTGGGCGAGGCCTCGACGTGACACTCGATTTGAACATCAGTGCCAAGTGGTGCGCCGACTAATTGATTCGGCACTTGGATGACTGGATGAACTGCAACGACAGGGGCCGGGAGAGAGAGAACAGGGGCAGGGGGTTAGTTAGTTCACAGACGATACGCAGGTTAGAGGTTAGAGGTCATGGGTTACAGGTTACAGGCTGCAGTCTAGTGGCTAGTGGCTTGAGAGCGCCTTCGAGAGATGGTTTAATTTAATAAATTGGCTTGACAGATCCAGGAATATAATTCTTGGACTGTATATTTATTTATCTACTAAGAGGAACAAGAAATATTTTAAAATTTTAAATATCTTATTTTGATCGAAAAAGCTAAGTTATCCCAGAACTACATACACCAGGTTTGGCCAGGCTTTAGGTTTGTAAGATTTTTCTCTCAAGACTTTAGTAGATCCCAACATACCAATTATGCAGTGCATTACTGGGTATCGTAGGTAGTAGTTCTTTTGACATTTGATAATTATAATTATTAACTGAAAAATGACTGCCTTAAAAAATTAAAATACAAAAAAAAAATCAAAAGCCACTTGAAAGTTTGCCTTGTCATATAAATTACATTTTTTACAGTGCATTGTAGCCCAAATATGTAATCAAAGTAGACTAGGTAACAGCACTCGTTCTCAATCGTCATATAATTTTAGTTCCTTTCCACATCAACAGCATTTTTGAATTTTTCTCTAAGCAAAAACAAAAAATCATAAAATAAACTTGGAAACTTATAAATATTAAATAAAATAATAGAAACGTTTATATCGATCGAACGGTAAGAGTTACATCCTGAATATTGTCTTTAAGCTATTGTTTGCCAAAACCAACTCTTGTTTCTGAATTTGTTGTGTGCTTTCCAGTAATTTATTTTCATTTCATTGCAGACTTGAGCTTAGATTTGATCATGGCGGACTACTCCAAATATGTGGTCATATTGACAGAGCAACTGGGACTAGCCCAAGGGACCTTTAACGGACTGCGTCCTTCGCAGAAGGCTGTGATGTATGTGGGAGCTGCCACTGTGGCATGTGTGATGCTGGGACTAACTGTCAAGTCGCTGCGCGGACGCAAGCGCAAGGAGCCGATGCAGCGCCGTTCCATCGATCTCCTGGATGAAGCTGATGGTCTGATGACAGGAATCGGCGGTGGTTCCATCGGGGACTCAAAGGATTCAAAGCCGTCTTCAGGCGAATAGATCCAATCACGACATCAATAATCGGTTCACAATCGATCATCGATAGCTTTCAATCGATAATCTACCATCACCAATCGATAATCGACAGCTGTTAATCGATAATCGATCAAAATAACATTAGAAATAACATTAACACACGCACACATGCCGCAGCACAGTACAACACAGCACAACTCACAGAAATTAACATCACTGCACGGCCCTCCCCAAAATAATTTGTATCTCACCTTTTATTTATACTATATACATATATACCCCACATATATATGTATATATATATAGTTATTGTTAAATGAGTTACTCGAGTTGTCAAATATATTTTATAATTTTATGATGGCCGCTCGAGATAGTGGTCTTTCGTGAAATATGTATGTGTTTTTTTCTACTTTTTTGGGGACCTGCTTTATAAAACTATAAAGTTTAAATTAATGTTAGTTAAGTGCCCTAAAATGTGCATAAACTGACGAATTTATACTATTTTTCTAATTAAGTGGAAATACATTAAAATATTCCTTAGCCCTATTAGTCAAGAATACTTGTAGAAAAAAACTGCATTACTTTTAGACAGAAGGAACGGTAGCAGAATACTTAAAACCTCAGCTAGGTTAATATTTCCTATTTCCTACTTATCCCTGAATTTTCACTAATGTTTTTATCAAATTCGAAAATTCTATCAAATAACTGAATATAAAGTCTCTCAATTAATTTGAAACATAACTGGATCGATTGCCAACTCAGAAATGAATTTGATATTGCAATGGTCGTTATGGTAATGGCCGTTTTCATTATTAGCAAATATTTTCCTAATTGAACTTTAATTTGGGGAAAGTATGTGTGTTGAATGTCCTGCTCCTCTCGGAGCTATTAATGCGCCATCTAAAGGCATTCAGAGAGGACTCCGAACGATGGCATCCTTTCGATTCGCAAAGGACAAAAGTTGGTAGCGAGCTTGAGGGCCAATTGAGTGTGGCATAATTTGATGGGCGTTGGTGGGCATGGGAGAGTGCCCAGGACACAGGGCTGCTCCCGCTGGGCAGAAAGGACTCATCAGGATGCAGGATGCATGCGAAGTCTGCACTGCATTGACAACTCTTTGGCCGGTGGCCCCAACTTTCGTATTTATTGTCACTTAGGCCAGGTATAGAATGCAATAGAATGGAACTCCTTTTCGTCCTTTTGCATCGAAATTGGTGGTTTTGTAAAAGCTGCCTGTAGGATCTGCTGCTTGCCCCGCAAGGACCTCCTGCCCCTTCGTCCCTCGTCCCTGTCAGCTTACAGATTGCATATTGTCTTCGCACTTGAGACATTTGCGGCCATGTGCATTGATAGTTGATTGCAGCAGGACGAAAAGGACGAAAAACGACAAAACAGGACCAACAGGAGTATCGGCAGCATCAAGACCTGCAACGGCAACTGTAAAACTTCTTCTGGACCGAGTTCTCCTAGCCAGAGGGATTTTAATTGATTTCCATGGCCCAGTGCGTTCTGTCTTGGCCATCACACATCCTTCATCCTTCCTCGTGTCCTTTTTTCTGGCCATCGAGAGTATCTGGCATCGAAAAGCCGCTTGTGGTCGACTCTCTTAAATTTCATTTATGCATATAAAATAACTTTTCCGGCTTTGTTCTTGTTGGCCTTTCTAGATTCTGATCGTTAAAGCAAATCAAAATATTCGAACTTTTCGCACTCGGCCAACGAGATTGGTTGTGGCTTTTCCAAATTCGATTAAAAATTAAGCCAATATTTGGGTTAACCAGCAAATGCTATAAAGTTCGTTAACATGTGTTTAAAAACGAGTTTTTACTAGTTACGATTAAATATAAAATAAATATATATTCCCATACTATTTTTTGAATAAAACTAAAGGCTTCCTATTTAATTTTTGGCATATCTTTGCCAATGTAAAGCGTTAACGTTTATTAATTTGCAGTTTTTCAATTTAAGAAAGTGATCCAAAATAAATTAAAAGGAAATATATATACAGATGTTATTGGCTTAATTGGGCATTGAAAATATTTTTATCTATGTTGGTGCATATTTTGTATATGTTTAGTATATACATTTTTAGATTTTATAGATTTTTAAATATCTCTTAAATTTGTTTAAATCTAAAGGAAGAATTGGTAATCTGATGAATTTATAGTTTATTAGAATCTTATGAAAAACGAAATAATTAAGAATGGGAAAGATCTTCTTTGAAAAGCTGTATCTATAATATATCATTTGAATTATTATATACCTTTGATAAAAATATTTTAAAGGTAATTTAAAAAAAAATAATTAAATAAAAATACATAAAAAACTTCAAAATTGATTGAAATTGAAAAATTTATTATGAGATATTATAACAATTATCACATCATTTGAAATCTATAACTAATTTATGTTTCCAATTCCAATCAAGAAGACATCAAATATATTCCTTTATAAAATTTTTTTTAATATTGTAAGAATTTTATAAATATCATTTTTAAAGCATTTTCCCCTACTTTTTTCCCAGTGCACTAAAAAGAATTCATGGCCTACTGGGACTGATAACTGGTAACTGGTTTTCCTATGGCAGCTAGGCATACGTGCTGGTCCTGCTTTAATCCATATCCTGGAGCCAAAGGACTGCCAGGAGGAAAGGAGTGCAGGAAGGTCCTGCCGCATTTTGGGGTTACCTTCCTGGTGGATTTCAACATTGGGGCAAGGACTATATTGGGAAAGGGCTATCCTCTCGGCACTTTCGCTTGGCGATTTGCAATTTTGCAATGATTATTCTGAGCATGTTCCTGCCTGCCCGGTGGCCAAACGGTCACCTTTCAACCTATCAACCTTTCAGCCATTCTGGCATTCCGGCATTCTGGCCATCAGGCTGCCACGTTGCCACACGTTGCCTTGCAGCTCGCTCAGTTTTGCGGCAAACAAAGCCACAAATATGCACTAATGACGTCGTCAGCTGCTGCCACTCTGCCCCCCTTTCTCTGCTTTCTCCGCCTTTCACCTGCGCCTCTCTTCCCCTCACTCCTGAAAAATGTTACCTGCAATCTCTGGCAACAGACTCGCATTTTGTCGATTGTTTTTCGAGAGCTTGAGCTCTTCGAAGGCGACAAAAAGTCTGAACACATGCGTGTTGCAAGTTCCAAGTTGCAAGTTGCCAGTTCACTGCGTGCAGTACAGTGCGTTTCGTGAGCACGTCGTCGGAGCTAGCCTCTAATGGCCAAAAGGTATCTTAAAGCTCTTAAATTGAGTTCTCAGTGCTCAAATCAAAACTTGAGTGTTTCATCACACTTTGCGACAATACTGTTCAGTAATGTTCAAGGGCTTATTTAGGGCCTGTCGTCGTACAAAAGGGGGCAAGGTTAATTCTTATCATACCCAAGGTGATTTTTATCTTAACCAGAAATTAAGCTTTAAAAACCATCGATCAGCTAATCAATTAGTTTTTGACTTTTGAAATCACTTCCGTATTCATTCCATCTATAGCTGCAGCTTTATAGATGTGATGATTATTTGTTAGCTTAAAGAGGTAATAGAGTTATAGAGGTTTAATACGGTCGGTTTATATATAATACTTCTTGCTGGTGAATTCATGTGGAAGAGATAGCATTTTTTCTTTAATAGAGAAAAACTTTCCTGGTTCAGAGCTTGTAAGTCATTGAAATTTTATAAAATTACTACCAAATCTAAGTAAATAATAGAAATAAAAGAAACAAAAAATATTGATTAGAATATAAATAAGTGTTGGGACATTTCCATTTATAAAAATTCAATGGCTTCAATTTAAGAACAAAAATTAAATCGATTTACGCTGAGTTTAAATAAAGAAAAAGTCTCGTGAATATTATTACAATTAACTTCATCCGAAAACTATAATAGCTCGTTAAAAACTTCAATTCATATATACATACAGTGGCGAGCAAAATTGAGTGTATGTTCACGACTCAGACTTTCGTCACCCATAAATTCATATTCACACAACCAAATCCAAAAATTTTTTTTGTTTTCTATTAATTATTTAATTCCTAATAAATTCTAAGCAAAAACAATGATGATAAAGATGAAATCGAGGAGAGATAAATTAAAAACGAAAAAAACCCACATAAACTCAATTTTGCACGTTTCATTTAATTTCCAAAATAATATTAATATTTTGTCCAAAGAAATTTATTTGATACGACTTCCTGTACATGGCCAGGCATGTTATCTACCAAAATTTCTCATATATCTTTAGGAAAGCGTATCCATTCAGCTACAACACGCTCCCAAAGGTTGCCCCTGTTTGATGGACCTGTTTCGTACTGCATGAGCCGTCTTTTTATGATTGACCAAAGATTTTCAATCGGATTGAGGTCGGGACTTTAGTCCGGGGTTTCATTTAATTTCTAAGGTTCCCTTCCAAACCATTCCTTAACAATTTTCGAAGAGTGCTTCGGATCCCTATCTTATTGAAAAACCATTTCTTTTTCGGAATAAGCACATTTTTCAATAAAAATGTCTGAAATGAGAAGGAATAAGCTCCTAACACTAAAGGATGCTTCTTTGGCTATAATCAAGAATGTTAGCGAATGGAATGCTAGAAAAACGCTGCGACACATCGGATATATTGCAAGTGTGAAACAAAAACAAACCTGTATTATCCGATAAAAATATTACAGCGCGATTGAAATTTGCAAGGGCACACAAAAATTGGACCGTTGACGATTCAACGTGTTATCTGGTCTGACGAGTCTAAATTTTACCCTTTTCAGTCTGACAGAAAGCAATATTGCTGGCGTAGACCCGGAGATCGAATCCAAAGACACCATGTAAAAGAAACTGTAAGACATGGGGGTGGTGGTATTATAGTTTGGGGATGCTTCACATGGTGGCATGTTGGCCCTCTACAATTAATAGAAGGTATTAGAAAGAGGACTACCTAAAAAACTTGCAGACCAATCTTCCCAATTTTATTGAAAAATGTGCTTATTCCGAAAAAGAAATGGTTTTTCAATAAGATAGGGATCCGAAGCACTCTTCGAAAATTGTTAAGGAATGGCTTGGAAGGGAACCTTAGAAATTAAATGAAACCCCGTTACAAAGTCCCGACCTCAATCCGATTGAAAATCTTTGGTCAATCATGAAAAGACGGCTCATGCAGTACGAAACAGGTCCATCAAACAGGGGCAACCTTTGGGAGCGTGTTGTAGCTGAATGGATACGCTTTCCTAAAGATATATGAGAAATTTTGGTAGATAACATGCCTGGCCGCGTACAGGAAGTCGTATCAAATAAATTTCTTTGGACAAAATATTAATATTATTTTGGAAATTAAATGAAACGTGCAAAATTGAGTTTATGTGGGTTTTTTTCGTTTTTAATTTATCTCTCCTCGATTTCATCT